TTTAAAAGATGGGTAAGTTGGGGTTAAGAGGGAGTAAGGAAGAACTGGCGAACGAAGCGAGGCGAGAAAACATTTTTGCTAAACAATAATTCAAAATGTGGTAACATGTGCTCCTGTTAGGCGCATATGCTCAGTGGCGTAGCAAGGGGGGGCAGTTGCCCCCGGGCGCAGGTGTGAAAGGGCGTAAAATTTCCTCTGGCCTATAATGCCTTTTAATTAATAATTATGCCCTCCCATAGGATATAGAGCAACTGCCCTACGTTAAGTAAATACGACACAGTGTTACGTTATTTGTGTGTATTACGCTTGCAGTTTTAACTTTTAAAAGCCGCCCACTGAAATACAGTGAGACGGAATGGACGTACAAGGTTGATTACAGTATTCCATCACTCATTCGTAGATCAAATACACGTCCTAGAGTACAACGTACAAGTAAGTGTATGTTCAACAAAAAGAAAATACGAGATTGATGAAACATATTGTTACGACAGCGTAAGTCACGTGACCCTGGTAACACGTAATGCGTATCTAGAAGGTTCGTGAAGGCTTGACTTGCCAGACTTGCTGTATTCTAATATATAACCCCGACAATCAAAGCGGGAGGGAATTAATCGGAATTGGAATCGCAGATAGGGAGATTGAAGATAAAGACACGGATAGTTGACTTAAGCAGGTGGTAGGCACCGTAAGTAAAGCTTGTGAATCGTTGTGAATTATAGCGTATGTTTAAGTTAAAGTGACTGTGGAAATTAAGTGCATTGCAAAGTTGAATTGAGAAAGAATAAACTAGTTTTATTTAAGAAAGGACTTGTATCGCTGAAGTTCTTCGGAAAGAATTTCTACGGAAAATTAACAAACAAACACAAACGTAACAATATTAATTGGTGTGAAAGATTGGCAATATATGCAACAGGCAAGGCCTAGATCTAGATTTGGTAAACATTATAGGCCTAATGTATTGGCTTGTAATTGTATTGGCTGATTGTAAATCATGTCTCACACCAACTAATCTACTAGACTTTACTTTATTACTAGACACGAGGTCCATCATCATACAAATTGTAGCCTATATTATAGAAATACTTAGACCTATACTAACTATTAAACTAGGCATTGCACTGAGACAGATCTAATGACTAAGTTAATAGATCTAGATGTAACATTTGTTCTAAAAGTTAGGCCTAATAAATATAAATATAGAATTGATGAGGCAGGGTTATATCTAGATCTGGGTAGATTCAATACAAGGTACTTTCAATCTATGCACCCAAATTTAAGGTCTAGTTCAGATGTATAAAGCTAAATTTCTGTCAGTATTATTACATCTAAATCCAAACCTAAGACTAAAAAATGGAAATAACAGGTCTAACATAGATCTAGATGTACTAGCGACTTAATCTAGGAATTGTAATCTAGCACCACTAATTAGTTAGTCTATATATAAGTTTTCTCATTCTACCAACACCTAAAATTATAAATGCAGCCTTTGAGCCTCTAGGCTTATATTATGTTATGATTACACTCTTCTCCACAGTGTGTATAATTTTCATTCTAGCAATTTCAAACTTGTCTCCTGTAGTATTCGTGTAGTTAAACCTATCGAGTTTTTAATGTGATTTAGCAACTGCCAGCAATTTATATGGTGCTCATAAGCATGATTTACCAGCATAAACACTCATCTGCATTGATTTTCTTACTGTTGTGTCACATTAATTAACATGAGTATGGGTGGTCTAAATAATGGCAGTTAAAGTGAATCCAGGTCCAGATGTTCCTAACTAGTCCTGAGTTGCAACTATAATTGTATAATTTAAATATAATTTGTGATTAGGAACTTACGAAAGTAAAATGCTTCCTTTCATATGACAATTCGCATGTTGCAACTAAATAGAGTAGTCAGTATTTATTAATTTATTCTTTTATCCCGTTATGTCGAAAAATGAAAGATGGGCACAGGGACGCAAAAGACGTGCACAATTTGCAGCTTCGATGGTGTAGTCAAGCAAATCGATGAGAGCTTTCCTTGCTGGAAGTGATGACACCAGTAAGAAAGCATCTGTTCCTTTTGATGGCAGCAAAGAAATCAAAGTGCAAGATTGTGAACATGCTATTTCATTTGAAAAAGAAAACAATGAAGAAACTGTTCTCTGTCCTGTTGAAAGCTACAATAATAATAAACAAGAGGATTCCACTTGTCAGACACAAATTCACAGAATAGTGTTGCTAAGCTAAAAGAGGATAACCTAATATATATTTTAACACACAGGGATATTGGATTTATGAAGTTTGATACCACAGGCTCAGCAGTTGTAACACATGCACATCGCACAGAGACTGTTAAAGTTGGAGCACATGAATTTCAACATAAAAAAGGTCCATTTGATGCCAAAGATGGGCGTTCTATGACTGCATTTTGTTTCAAACGATGCCTTTTGAATGGACAAGAGATCAATCGCTCCTTGTTGGTGTATGCACCTCTACATAAAGCAGCATACTGCTTTTGTTGTCTTCTTTTTTTCATCTACATGTATGACATCCGATAGTCGGCCTGCTTTCAAAATACAGGGTGGATTCTCTAAGTGGAAAAAAATTGAAAAGTTAAATGTCTATGAAAATAATGACAGTCATGGTGAGTCATTTGCTGCTTGGAAAGAAACTGAGCTCCGAATTCGTCTTCAAACTGGTATTGATGCCGAACTGCAAAGGCAAAATCAGCAAGAAAATAATAAATGGAGAGATGTACTACGACGGTTGCGGGATTGTACATAATATTTAGCTTCTCAGAATCTTGTATTTCGTGGTCATACTGTGGACATAACCTTAAACGAAAACCCTGGAAATTTCCTGTCACTTGTGCAGTTATTAGCAAAGTATGATCCAGTAATGAGAGAGCATTTAGAGCATGTTAAAAACAAGCAAACATCAACATCTTATCTTTCTCCTGAAATCCAAAATGAGTTTATAAATCTCATGGCTTCACGTGTGAAATTATTGATTCTGTTTGTTGACATTGACTTTAAGACAAGAAAAGCAGAAGTCAAAGAGTCATTTATTGACTTTATACAGATAAAGAAAAAGCCTCTGTCAATATTGAGAAGCACAAAATTAGAAGTGGATGGAATTTTATTGAGTGATTGTTGTTCACGATGTTATGATAATGCTGCTGTCATGTCATCTGTCAGGTGTTCAACAAAAAATTCTGAACAAAAATCCAAGAGCAGTGTTTATAAACTGTGACAACCATAGTTTGAACTTAGCATGTCTTCATGCTGCAAGTCAGGAAACAACAGTTATTTCATTTTTTGGTATAATTGAAGCCATTTATAATTTCTTTGCTCATTCAACAACTAGATGGGATGAACTGCAAAGGAGCTTAAGATATCTGTCAAGCGTGAATCAGAAACACGGTGGAGTGCAAGAGAAAAAGGCAGTAAAAGTTGTACATGAAAAACTGGAAGAAATGCTAGGACTGTTAGAGAAATTAAGTGGGAATAGCAACATGGCTTCAACAAAATGTGGTGCTCATAATATTCTGCAACACATGCTTATATTTGTTGTATGTATGTGACTTTGAACAACACTGGATGACATTAATATCAAAATGGTTTACAAATTATATTATATTAAGTATACCTAGTAGGCTATACTTCATTAGTTCCAGGTTTATAGTTGTGATATTGTGAGATGTTATATA